TTGTAGAGTATTTCACAATACCGGATAAAGTAGTTTTAGAAACCTGTATGTCCGTTATTCTCCAGCATGATGCCATTGGGTAGATCATCGTAGTGATTCCAGCAGAGTAACTCACGTATGGGAAATTTTTGTACATTCTCATCGATAATATTTATGGGTGACTGATTTGCATCCGAGCAACGCCAATTGTGTGGTCCTTTCGGGTGTGCCGGTTCGGACAAAAGATTTTGAATCAAAAGTGAAAGTTACTCTATTTTCATTGTCACATAAATTCAACCTACCATTGTCAGGGCCGTAATCAAAATTCATGGAGCTGTTACTTGCACTACCACCACCGCTTGTACCGGCACCACAACTGCCTCTGCCAGAGGCTCCACGACCCGGAAACCGAAAATCACAAATCAACATGGCMGTATGAATGTTAATGACGAAAACCAGCGCTATTAGGAGACTGATCGCCATCACAACGAGCGGGTAGTCCAAAGCGCAACTGATCACATGGTAGACGCAATTGAATAGAAAATTCAGCAACGAGCACAACGAACATTCTACCATTGTGGCTTGATTGTGCGATTTCAACTTGGAATAGCAAGGATTTAAAGGTAATCCCTAACTTATTTGTATTTAAATAACACGGCTTTTATTGATTGTCGTTTAGATTAAAACAATTTGAGTGATTTGACAATAGAAAAAAAATTAAAATGAAATGAAAATAATTTCTTTGTTACAATTGGATGGAATATTCGATAACTCGATACAGTAAACGTTCACGGCAGGTATATTGTACAGTTCCATATCGTTTGGAACGTGATATGAAAAACGCTTATGAATTCCTGAGATTACAGGATTATGTTTCATTTGTTTATTGTTTCACTGAAACCAACATTTAAAACTTTCGAAAAATTCAAATTTATAAGAGTAATTCAAATTGCTTTAAAATCGTACTTAAAATAATTTTCAGAGAAGTTAAAAATAATTATAACCGAATGCTGCAATATTATTGCTATATTAATGTATATTTGTGCAAATTCAATAAACAGCTGTTTTTTGTTTACTATCAAAATTGATTGACGAACGTTCATTTCAATTCAACTGCGTCGATCTTGTTATAGTTGATTAAAACGAAAAGTAGTTTTCACACATGTATGTAGTGTCGTATATGTATGCAATATGAGCAAGAAAAACATTTATTTCGGTTGCACCGAAGCTAGAATACCCTACACAAAAAGTTCTCTTTCAAGAATTCGATTTTGATCTGTGAGTTTGTATGGAAGCTATGTATGTATTTGCGTATTTGCTATAGTGATCCAATGTGAACAATTTTTTCGGAGAGTGCAACGACACCGAACCCGGACCCGGATTTTCAACTGGCCAAGGAGAGTCAACTCGGCAGAATTATTTTGTGTAATGAAAATTTTTTCTATGAAAGAACTGCACTTCGCTCCTTCAGTTTGTACCACAGCTTTATACTATAATGGTACGATATCGGCRGTTCCGACAAATGAGCARCTTCTTGGGGAGAGAAGGACGTGTGCGAGATTAAAGATCGATATCTTAAAAACTTGGGAAACTGRTTCGCTTATATACGGATAGACAAACASACAGCYCGTGGCTGATCAGGGTATAAWAGCATTTARTCACCATRAATTATTCTAATTTCGTTTGTCGATTATTTTGTTTTGAAACAGCTGTTACAACAAGTGGTAGCTCTCTTTAGGTATGACTTTGAATTGAATATCAATATTACAACTTTAATGTATGTTAACAGATCTAATAAGATCATTAGAACAGCGCAAGTACGCTAATAACATTTATTAAATCCAAGAGTAGCACAATCACTTCGATTATTAATAAACCATGTCTGAAGTCGGATTTGGCTCAAAATTATTTTATAATAACTGAAAAAAATGCAAGGAAATTTATTTAATAACAATTGTATATTTATTATTACCGACAGCTGGTATTTGTTTTCGTAAATGTGCAATTATTATCGTGTTGTGAAACGTCTCACTATATATATATATACATATATATATATATAAGTACGTACATTCGTATACAATTATCTGGGAGCTGTCAAAATACAGCTTTATGCAGGAGACGGGCGTTAATTGTTTAAAAAGCAGGCAGCTTCAAGTGAGTGTTCACGGCAAGCAATGATAAATMAAAAAGTAATCAATATGTGCTAAAATAACATAATTCGTTATTTTTGACAAAARTACTTATAAAACAATTAGTAAGTAGCGACACTTGTGACCTCATCGTGACTAAATTGATTTATCAAAATTGGTTAACTAATCACAGATATTATTCTATGATATTTTCTTTATTTTAGCTGCTTCCCTTTCTAGAAGCTTCATAGAGCAGCTCACTTMAAATTGCCATTAATGATTGACAAAATATTTGGCGATAACATGACAACATACATGTGCAAATATACATTTTTGTTTGCGATCCAAAACTTTCCTCTAACGATGATGGAATTTCGATAGCTGCCTTCCGCCCGTCGTTGCAAATATGTATGTACATGTGTCTTACGTACCTTTCAACGTACTTACTTACATGTGACAGCGATAAACGAACGTACTTGCATATGAATGTGTATTTGTTATTAAAAGCAAGYCAGACTGTCTGAAAAATTTATTGTACATGATATTTCAATAGCGATAATTCAATTACACCCAAAATGTTTATTTCTTTACTTAATWTGCTTGCTTATATTTTTAGACACTAATCAGTGTGCGGAAAGGTGAAAAGTTGACGATAATGTGAAAAGCATGTAGTATCGCGAATTTGCAAAGAGCGTGAAACCAGGCTTATTTTTAGAAAAATGCGTGCGAATATAATTTTTGAAGCTAAAGYAACTTTGAGAGAGTAATAATTATTATTTTTACTATTAATTGTATTTATTTTAGTGTTTAAAGCCAGACACAATTCCTACCTTTGTCGGCTCTTGGACAGTTCTTTCAGTAGCATAACCATTTAATACTAACACAGAGTTAACAGTTTTATAACCCTTGTTATTGTTAGAGGAACGATGCCGAAATGACAGACTATGATCGGATAAATAACCGCATTCGCTCCGGTTACCTARCTTCCATTATAACGTGTTGCTTAATTCGACATTATTATTATATCTTTGCTGAATAATATGTTATTAACGAACTATTTGATAGTGTGTGAATGCAGACTTTTTCTATTAAAACAATCTCACGTATAAGCATATCGGTTAGAACTGGTAAAAATTTATTGAACGGCCAGTCATTGTACAAATGTGATGTATTCTTCAATTTCAAGCAAATACTTAAGCTATTTTTATATAATTGATTAATATTCGATAAGATTTATCAACGTTTTTTCAAAGAATAATTCTCTAAACTCCATTTGTAACTATGACGGTAAATCTAAGAAATGCACATCGATCAATTGTCACGAAAATAACCATTATATATATGTATGCATATGTATGTGTGTATATTTTTAAACAAATACTGCTCACTGTTTTGACAGCGTAAATATATTTTTGTACATACATATTTGTTTTAGTATACGCAACTGTTATCAGATTAATTAAATAAAATGATCAGTCAGAAAAATGTCGTGAAGTTATAATAAAGAAGCAGAAAGATTTTKTAATTTTAGATCAGAAACTAGCCACATTAATGAAACTATATTGAAAAATGGAATGGAACAGCATTGATGAAGATAGCAATTTTAATGTGGTTATCTATAGGACAAAGTATGCTAAACATCGGATGGTTATTTTTGTATTTCAAACAGCCTTTCCCCGAAATATATAGGTATATACATGTGCAGGCACGGAATCCCCGTAGTCAGCGTTACTTGAATTTCATCAATGATTTTATATATGTATGTATGCACATACATACATATCTATTTTTACTAGTTCCTATATGTGTACGTAGGTGAGTTTAGCTATAGTACATATGTTTAAATCAAAAAGCTGCTTCAAAATAATGCWGGTGTGGTAGATAGTGTTTGTATGTATTATTTGCAAAGCGCGTGACTTTTTAAACTAGTTTTGCAAAAACAAAACAAAACCGAAATTCAGGGACAAAAAAGCTTTGATAATAAACAAACACGAAAAAAATTTAAACAATGCCGACTTCGAGTAACTTCTAACGAATATTATTATCTGAATAAATAAAATGCATTAATATTAAACTTTGCTCAAAAATATGACCTCTCTATATATAATTTCTTATACAAAATCAATAATCCATCGCTATGTGTGTACAGGTGATTTTAGAAATGGGAAAAAAATATTTAATATTATATATTATATTTTATTTAATCATCAAACAAACCAAAGTAACATTAAAACAATTATGCTGAGCTAAAAAACCGCACTAAGTTAAAGTATCAACTAAGCAAGTGTTTTAAATACATATTTATGCTTATAAATATCAGTGAAGAGAAAACCAACAAATACAAAAACACCGTGGCCGCAAGGTGAAATCGCCGACTGGCGAGAATATGTGGCACTTCGGCGTTTGTTGACTTGGCCCAAAAGATAAATTAATCAATAAATTTGCGACAAGTGCAGGGTCACTGGTGGAGATGCGGAACATTTTCGCACTGGTGAATGACATATTCATCTCTTTGTACTTGCTTATGTATATTTATACAATTATGATTCAATTTACTGCCAGTGCAGTAGTCCGAACTTTATTATATACTATAAATACAAGTCGTAAGTTTTTATTATTAGTGTAAATTTGTTTATTTTTGTGCTTTTAGCCGGTTAACTTTTATGCTCTTCAAAGGCTACCCTATTTATAAGCATATACTATATTTATATACATACTTATATGCGAGTATGGTAAAATTCCATTGAAGCCCCATTCATTTGCAATATATATGTACGTATTTACTTATGTAGCGCATACACATGCACATCTACATATACAAATTGTGTTCTCAAAAATACGAATCGCCTCATTTTAATATTGCGCTTTTAACTTTGGACTTTTAGTTACCTGTTGATTTTGTTGTTGCAGCAATTTGATTATGTTCTCTATTTTTCCACAATTTTTTATGCGATTCTACAATCGACTTCTATTGCAATTCATGTGAAATTCCAGATTCTACCAGCTATTCCCCCCCAAGTTTTATCACTTCTCCAAATTCTTTAATAATACGACGCAGTAGCTAAGTCGCGGTTTTAATAACAATATTTTTTTCTATAAATTAGAAACACTTGAAACAATTCATTTATTAACCACACTCCGACAATTGGACAATTACGCAAACTATATCTTGAAATGACAACATTCGATTTTTGACTGTTGCGCCGTCATCTGTCAATTTCCCACATAGAATTTGGCACAATTGACGAAACTCGCAACGCTGCACYGCTATAGTAGTAAAACATAACGAAACATAGAATTATGTTAAAACTCTATTCTATATTCACCTATCAACATATATCATAAAAATTATTATGCTGTAATTATAAACTATTTTATTAAAAGCTATTTTCTATATACAGAGGAAACTAGCAAAAACATTACCCAGAATGCTTGAAACTAGAATTTTTAGCCGACATATATTTTTTGTAACAAATTACACAATGTTAGTAACCATTAAAAGCAAAATCGGAAAATTTATAGTCTTGAAGCGTATTAAGAAGTTTAAAAAAGTTTGCCGTTAAATTGTATCCTCTGGTAATAATTGTAAAACACTTATTATTGTAATAGATTAAACAAACTTGCAGGAATTCATTGAACGTAAATCTCCTCAGTTGCAACCCTGACACTTAAGATGTTGGCAATGGTGTTTTTGACTTTTTCTCATCTACTAGCCGCTGACGTATGCGCGCATGTGTGTGAGTGTGTATGCAAAGTAGACGGCGAACAGATATTTTCATTGTCCGTCGGATTTCTTTTAATAATTCTTCAAAAAAGTTAAATTTCTAAAATTTTAAATCTTCCAAAAAAGTAGGAATTCTGTGCAAAAGAGTGGTTGTTAGTACAATATTGCAGTGCAACAAGGTAATGAAGAATTTCAAAGTGTTTTTTATGTAAATTGGTGATGAAGCAACAGTGACTCGCTGTTAAGCAAAGAAGAAAAGAAGTAGAGTGTAAATGAAATAAGAGCTGAAATACCAAAATGAAGCTAAAGTAAAAAGTTAAATTGAATTTTATAGTGCAAACTTCATACGCAAATTCGGCGCAAGCAAGCGTGAATAAAAGTGAATGTGTATGATATGAAAATGAATAACTTATTCATGCAACCTTAGCAAAGTTAATACATAAACTGAGGCCAGTTGGTGTAATAACCGAATTTTTAGTTCAATTTAACAATTGAAACGCTATTGTTAGTGCTGCCTTYATGTTGGCAATAAAAGTGATGCACATCTTGTGAAATTTCCAATTAATATCGGAATATAGTTGTATGATAAACAAATATAGAACGCATTGAAACCACTCAGATATATGCAGCTCTTACGTTCGGAAGTTAGATTCCGCAAGTGGTTTCCGCCGCGTAATTGCAACGCATCATGAACGTTGCTATTGCTTTGCTTGTTTTTTTAGCGACGTCTCGTGACCTCATCAGTTCGCCTCCAACGTCTGCAACACCTTTCAACCAATGATTCAGTGTTTGAGCAAGCGATATCCAAACTTATAGACTGCCCGACAGGCAAACTGTGGAGTATTTGGTACTTTCCGTTGTTCGCGATTCGATTTTATTTTCTTCTATTATTTTCTGATCTTTTTGTTATCCACGTTCTACGTACATTTATGTATGTTCAACGTCTCTCGTCTCGTTTTSCGTCTACAACACGCTTGCCTGTCTGGCTGCCAGAATGAAGGGTCGTTCTGTTGGCCCGTCGCTTTGTTGGTTGTGTTAACTGAGTGGCCCACCGACTGACTGACTTTGACTTTTGTCTCTTTTGTGTTGCAGTATTGTCTTCCGTTTGCTTAACTCGGTAAGGCAGTGCTTTGTAATAATACGCTGGAACTGCTGAGTTTGCAGGTAATTTATGGAAATATTTAATATAAATTATACACATTTGTACCTTTTAATTTACTCTAGTGTATATATATATATATACATACATCATACATATGTATGTATATTTCTATCTTCAATCGGAAATATGACTTGTCATAATTAGAGGGTACTAGCTACACGTTTAATGTTTATTGTTATTGAATATACAATGTTTAAATGAAACGCAAATTCAAACGATAAACGTTTTTTATAAGTATCTTTTATAAAATTCAATACCAGCTAGTTGCCCTATTAGTTCTTGTTCATTTAAATAAATAATAAGCTACGTAATAGAAGTATTTTTTATTATTTATATGTTCTTAAAAGCACGTATTTATTTCGAAAAAATATTATGGTKATTATAAATAAATAATAAAATAAAATATTTAAATAAATAAGTTACTTATACATATGTTGGTTTATATTTTTTCTAAGTCAGCCGAAAGCCTTTGATGCTAGCGCTGCGTACTTTAGTTTATTTAATAATTTGTTTATTATGTAAGCTTCAATAAAATAAAATAAAAAAAAAATTTTTCTAAGCTTTCATGACTAATAAAACCCTTTTTTAATTTTCATTTTTAGAACAAGTTCTCTGCCGCATAACGAGATTTTGGTTTTATTSTAAAGCCTGATTTACTGAAACTAAAAAAATCTAAAAAAAAAGTTACTTGGCTACTCCCACTCCGTTAGCCTTATCGGCGAACCAACTTCGAATGAGGAATTTTAATAAAAATAAAGCAATACATACGCGAAATAACAACTGAAGTATATTAGTGCCAGAAACCGTCATTGAAAACAGTCGCGCGAATTTTAAACAAAAAAAGTATTATATTTATTAAAAACCAGCATATAGCGTTTGAAATATTAATAAAAAGTAGTAAATAAACGTTAAATTTAGTTGTACCAAACTACAAGTACATAAAGAAGCAAAGGAAGAAAGRGTAAATTAAGTGTGCACCAGAATACACTACAACCCTATAGTGGGAAGAAACAAAAACAATGATCCACAAGTGAAGACAATCACCCAAAAGCGATAAAAAAATGTTTGCAGTARTGAAAAGTCACGACCGCTCAACCAATTAGGAACAAGAAAAACGCTATATAATAACAAAGAAAATAATTTTTTTTTGTGAAGTTTTGACATCAAAAACGGTTTAAAGAGACACAACAAATTGTCGGAAGTGTCAAAAATCGCGTAACTCAAAGGCAAAATGCCCGCAAAGGCTAAAGTCCGTGGTGAATAAGTAAATACACATTTTATTGTCGTTGGATGAAGACAGCAAAAAATTGTCGCCAGCTATATGAAAAATAGACAAAYGGCGGACAATGACCTACTTAGAAAGTAGCTGCTGATTTGTACACTAAAAGTTCTTTTTATGTTTACTCTGTTTAGTTATTTGGAGCTTAAGTCTTGCATCTTAGAATTCTCGTAACCACGGTTATAACGGCTACTCACCAACGTCATCTGCAGCGTGCCACAGAGTTTGTGGCGGAAGTGCGTTTCGTACGTACAATTCGTTTTAATGTCGGTACTGCCCCCAACACAAGCCACACCACCCGAAGCATTGTCAAAAATAATATTTATAACGATAATGCCAAACGCCGCCAGCGAGCGGCAATCCAATGCAAAAGCGTGCAACTGATGCTACTATGCGGTGGAGCACAGTGTGTGCGACAAACACGATAAACAAAAGCAACATTAATAACAAAGATAGCAACACAACAAAGACAATAATTAAAATATTTCCTTTTATTTGTGTGTATTCGAAAGCAAATCGCCGCGAATTAAATACAACAGAAAAACAATCACATCAAACGCGACACTATGGATGAGGAACGGAAGAGACGGTTAGTATATATAGTTTAGTTTTATATATGATAGTTTTACTTTATTAATATATATTTCTGTTATGTTTGGTTCGAAAATTCCGCGTTTTTCTTTTGCTATATTATTTCTACTACTCATATAATGTTAAGGGTAGTTCTGACAGCTTCGTTTGCATTTATTTCTTTTGTCTCTGAAAATTAAAATATATTTGGATACCTGTGCAACGTTGTTTAACCTGATATTTAGATTGTAATATAATTAATGTATATTCCTAAATGGTTCACAAAAAAAAAAAGTTGTTTGTTCAACTATGCCAAGTATTACACTTTTTGCCACACCTCACCAAACTATATTCACACTTGCCCAATCTCGTGCATACTTCGAGCATTTGTATAYATTGAGCAGCATTTCAGTACGAGTGCAGTTTTTGGACTGTGCAAATTAAGTAATTTAACTAAGCCAATGATTTTCTCACGAATGAAGTAAATAAAAATATTCCCTTTTACGAATATCAGATGATTTGAGGAAWTTAGGTGGCAATAAATGGCGTTCCGACTAAATTTTAATTACAGCCAACTTCGGATGTAAACATATTGGGGTCTTCAAGCGGCCCTATAAGGTATACACATATATAAATTAGTAGATTTATCTATGTCCGTCCCTCAGTTTATGAAATATCGATCTGAATTTTAGAAGACGTCCTTTTCTTCCCAAGAGCAGCTCATTTGAGGGAAGCGCCGATATCGGGACTCTATAAGAAATGCATTATAACTTCGGTGCAGCCAAAATTAACGTTTTCTCATTTTTAGWATAGTAGTGTTTTAGTATAGCTTCAGTTATTAGCCTTACGTTTGCATATGTGTACCTCCCACCATCTTGTATCCAAAATATAAATAAAGGTGTATGGCGAAACCCCCCATGGCTTTGCAATTCATCACTATCGGCTAACTACGAGTTAATTAGTCCAAATCTAGATTAATGGTCACATGTACACACACATATGTATATATGTATATACATATAGATGCATATACATATATGAGCTCAAGTGTGCTCTTAGAGTTTATATAGATTTATGGATGTATGGATGGATGTAGATAAAAAATGATATGGAAACTCTAACCGCAAATGGAGTACACACGCGTATATAACATTTACCTGTTGCGGTGCTTGCAACTTTTTCGACTTTTGCAACTTTTTCGGCATTCTGTTCTTTCCATAATTCGCAACGTCGGTGTAAAAGACCATTAAAGCGCGAACCGCTCGCGCATCAACTAATTGCAAACATTGTAACTGACACTCACATACACAAAAACGAGCKAGCGAACACCTTACTTTATAGGCAGACATGTGCATTGCCGCAACCAAAAGAGTTATTGTACATCGAAAATGCATTTTTGAAAAATTTGTAACAAATGAAAATAAAAAAAAAAACATTAATTTTTTTGCCGACCAAATTCTGCAAAACCAAAATAAAAATCAAATTAGCTAAAGAAACATTAACAAAATGAAATCAAAAGAAAAAGTGAAAATAAAAAGGAAAAATCGCTGACGCGCGCTACTATGGACAAGCATTSAATACTGACTGTCATTATAGAAGTATGCCACTGCGCTGCTGTCGCATCGGAGCCCAGTCAGCAAAATGGATCGGTGCGTTTGGTGACAGGCGTGTGAGCGCAAATGAGCTGCGGGACCAATCAAACGCTGCTGGACAGCCGCCATCGGAACCGCCACCAGCTGKCCACTGGTAGCCGAGATGCTTGGCACCTAACCAACGGCGAATAGCAATAAATAAAAGCTTCCAATGAAATTGAAAATGAATGCGAAAAATTCGCGCTGAGCACCAACAAAAATGCATAGTGGTGTTAGCACGCTGCCATATAATAGCTACTGTGATCAGTGTTGCCACTTCCCAAAAACTAATATGATTTGGGCACTTTTTAGTGATCGAACTATGCTTATGAAATTTTTCACCCGCCCTTATTTCCCCTAAAGCCATATCAATGAAACCCAAGTCCTTGTATAGAAAACTTCTTTATTTGCTACGGTACCTTCACAAACTTTGGAGTATAATCCAAGGCAGCGCCAAATTCTTCGAACAATTTTTCCAAATTGGACCACTATAGCATACAAGCTTTCTTTGTTGTTGAATAGTGCCGAGTTGGCAGTCCTTAGCCGGATAAAAATCCTGATCAATTACGGTTACTTCGATCCGACTGTGGTGGGAACGGTATTGATTGCTTGATTATTAAATGAGGAATGCACCGCGACCTTTGATCAATTGTGCTCTCTCCTAAATCACAAAGACTCACATAGCCCCAGCATAGTGATAAAATCTAATATTCTGCTGGGTACTACGAAACAAAGAGTTCACTATTTGGAAACATGGATCCAAGGGCCTTAAACCTGCTGTGCAGACAATTAGGATGTGTTCTGGTGTTTCAGGCTACCTGTCGCAGAACCGGCAATTTGGGTAAGAAGCTGAGCCCCTGCTATGTAAATGGATCTTCAGCTCGCAGTGCCCAGTGTAAAATGCGACCACTATACTGAGTTTATCCCTAGAGAGGTTGGTTGCATATTTAAAGCTGTTAGCAACTTGGCATGCTGCTTGCCTTGTAGTTGTTGCCTATACCTCTCCCCGCCTACTCCTTCTTTGCGGAGCAACTGCTTTATAATATAGAAACCCAGTGAAGGGGTCATGTCCTACCGTGTTAGTGGATGCTGCCTTCATTCAAATTGATCGCTCAAAATGTGCCGCCTGAAATTAACGAAGTTAATGTTTGTTATTTTTTTTTTTTTTTTTTTTTTTTTAATTCGAAGTAGTTATTAATTTTACCCAAAGTGGCAACACTGTACGCTGCACTGACTTTGCCTTTTAATAAATTTCGCCATTTTTGATACCAATTGAATTGAAATCTAAGTAAAATACAAAAACAACAAATCCATAAAATCACTTGGCTGAGAAGCTACGCGAGCAATTGACAAATATTCGCTCTTCAAGTGGACGCTGCCCAAGCGCCTTACGAGTAGGTGATTTCTTCTAGCTGCGCGGTTGGCGTACTGCGCTGAGTCATTTTTGATGTGCTCGGACGCTGAACGGTCTGCTGGCCGGACGACGGGTCTCTAACGCATTCGCGCATGCGCCCTCAGCGCTGCTAGTGATCGTGGTGAATAGCAAAATAGAATGATAATCGGAATTGAAATTCTGTGGATATATACATATATCAGGTGTTTGCATAAGATGGCTTAACTCTCGCATATAAAATGAAAAATTCAAATGTGGAACATTAAATTTGATCTTCGGCGTTTTGTGTTTACGCGTGCGTAGAATGCAACTCAAATTGAATTGAATTAAAAATAAAATAAATTATTGTAAAACAAAAAATTACGAAAAAATTATGCAAGCCATTGCGTGATCGCGTGCGCGCATGTGTAGAGTGGCGAATGTGTGTGCGTCGCGCCTCGCATTCGCGCCCTAAATCTGCTGCTCCAAATCATATCCAGCCAAGTGGCACATCACGTCGGGTGCTGTACGGCGTGCGTTTACTTATTTACCGCACTCAAAACAAATAAACAATTAAGTGAATTCGTGTGATTAAAATGCCGCTGCCACACACTAGATAATCTGCGTGCGCTTCGTACAAAATTAAAATCATAGCAAAAAATAAAAAATAAAAATACAACAATTAAAAAGCATTATATTGGACAATCAATCGCCTTGGCTGCCGCCGAAAACATTTCGCGGGCAATAATATTAATATTAATACTAATAAAAATGTTTGCCAACGTCAGCCATTATGAGCGGTAATTTTCTTGTTGCTATTTTTGGCGTCAAATCATAAATTATTTGCGCTTTTCGGTTGCGTAAAAAATCTACAACACCAACAAAACAGTAACACTTCCATAAATGTACACATTATACAACAAAAAAAAAATATATATATGACATCTTTTTGCGTGCGTTTTGTACGCGCGCCACGCTGGCATTTTGATTGCGACCTTGAAATATTTTCCTAATTTGCGCTCGAATTGTCGTGGCGGCACACCCCGCCCAAGTGGGAGTTAATGCTTTTGTGTGTTTATTAATTGTGCTCGTTACACTGATCAATAGTGCTCCTTTATAGTATAGCTTGTGCTCGTTTGCCGATCCTATGGCAGTTTAACTTTTTCTTTACCAATAAATATGGTATGAGGTCAGGTTTCAATTACTGGGCCCAGTTATGTGTACTTGAATGCGGGTACACAGAAGTCGATTACTCTGAGATTGATGATCAGCTGATAGCACGTGCAGTTGTTTTAAACATAACCCCCAATTAACTTTATATCAAGTATAAAGATTTGCAATATGTTGCTGATAAAACTTGGTACTTTAACATTTCTTTCACATGCTTCTTCTTTCTCATAGAAAGCTAAGGCTAAGCCGGACTAACAAAAACATCTTTTCACGTATTTCAATACGAATGTTTCTAATCCCCTTCGAAATAGGCTCTGTGCTGGTGTTTCCTGTTCCAGGTCGCAGAACCGGCAGTTAGACCTCGTTTTTTCTATATACATATGTACTTGTTTTCAGTGTTAATTTTTTCCACGCTATAAATCACAAGATAAAATTTTCGTTTTGTAAATAAACAGCTGTCAAACACAAACTGGTTGACATCTGCAGATCAAAAGTCACGAAAAAACTACCAATTTAGGAAGGTTTTTTTTATCGACTCAGTTTGCACGCGCAGTTTAAATGGATCAGTCCGGGTCCAACTTGATCAGCTGTTGTTATACATCTTGTTAAATTTTAATATAGTCTATATTGTGATAATCTTTAAAAAAAATTATAAAATTTATATTTACAAAATGCTTGTCTGGCATTTATTATTTTTTGATTTTTTCTCTCTTCTTAGCCGCTTATTGAACAATCCTCGTAACTATAAACTTTTCAGCTAATTTTTTACCATCTATCTCATAGTAATAATGTTGTTATTCTTTGAATTTATATTTTTTCATATTTTAATTGCTCAGTGAGTTGTCGATTACCAATATGTGCTTGTGCTTTATAAATACTTTATTCATTCATTTTGGAATTTATTTATTTGTTGTTCTTTTTGTTGTTGTGTAGCTTTTTTAACAGTGATTTCGTCATGTTTTTGGTGATGTTGTTATTGTCACCTATGGTTGTCGCCAATTTATCGTCATCAGCAGCACCAAAAATGATAGATTTTAACGACTTTTTCACTCGCATATTTTTGTTTTTGGGTTTTCGTTACTTTGAAATTTGTTCAATTTCAATTGGCGTCTCTATTTATAATGAGTTATGTATGTTGCGAGTTTTTTTTTTTGTGTTTATTACTGTGTGCCATGCCTTTTACTGCCTTCTGTTTGCGCATGTTTCGTCGCTGATAACTGTCCTGTCGACGTACAAAATCTACTCTTATATGTACAACACATGACATTGTTACACTTCAGACGGGCAGCAATATTACAACAACAGTCTTTACTTTAAGCTCGACATATTATTAAGAGAGAACACTGACTGGCTGACTGACTGACGGGCGGTGATGAAATCACACCTTACGACTGCTTATTGATAAATAATTTATTTCGTACCACTCTATTAGACTGGAAATTTACAGATATTTTTATGGTATTTGCATTTGTTTGTGTTTTTTAGTGTTTTTTCTTAAAATTCTTCATTTTTCGTATTCATATACGAGTAACGTACTTCCACGATATAGTTTTTAAAGTACAAATATTGTATATGGTATGCTTTTGATGCATGTGCTTTCAAGTACATGTACTGCTCAAAAATCAGTTTGTGATTTAACGCCTCTCTCTTTTCCCCAGTAACGATATTTGCATTATTCAAATGTCTTGCTTGATTTGTTTTGCTTATTGATTCGCTAAATCGTCGCTTCCTGCAACGAACAGTTTGACTTTGCCTAACTCGTTGCTAAACTATCGTTTGCAATTTAAATTCAAACTTTTAATTGTGACCGATCTAAATTAAGATAGCGTTTTATTTATATATTGTGCTAAATTTTTCGCCGAAATTTGTGTAGCTGGAAGAAACAATATGGCGATCAGTATGTGAATTTAACGCACCAAATTTTTTATTTGGTTATCGCCAATTTGAATTTTAAAATTATGTGGGTCGAATGCCAATTACATACTTTGAATGTACAATTTTAAATTAGAAAACAGTCGAGTGTATGAGGGTGTGCAGCAAGGTACTGAAGTTCTCGATAGCCAGTATCAGTAATAATTATTCTAATTTCTATTCCACCTCATGATATTTCAAGTTAATATGATAAAAGGATTGAGACAAAATTATGTATCTTCTAGTGCGGTGTACTGGTGCTGAGCGCAAGTAAACTTCATAGCTGGCCCGTTAAAACCCGCATGTGAAAACAAGCGGTCCCTAATTAGCTTTAGGAGTACAATTTGTGAGTTCAGAGGCAATGTTGGTAGGAAATGCCGTAGGTGTTTCAGTGCAAATGTGAGGCGAAATTGCATACACCAGGAATTTCATATTACTCTGCGAGTTTTTATCCTTAACTAAGTCGTTATAGCCTTGAGTTATCGCCGGAAAAGCATTTTTTCAAGTTTCTTCAGAATTTAATGAAATATTTTAACTTGTTGTAAGCAAATTGTTTTGAAAGACCGTTCAATTTACCAATCGAAATCGTATGGTTCAATGATGTATACTGGGGATCGTACCGAATCCGTTGGTTTCCATAGATTTATGTTGCTATCGTATTGCGCTTAGACTAATACATTGAGTATTTGTCAAATTCAATGACAGCCGTAGTCAAACCATTGAAAATAAATGATATTGACTGATTCTTGTCATATGAATTTTTTGTTCATGTTTCAAAAAAATACATACAGACCAAAAATTTATTAATCCTATGCTTTTAATGCTGTGTAAGATAAAATTTTTGTACATGAAATTATGATTTTTTATACAATATTTTCAAAAATATGTACCGATGCATGACGTTCGAATAATACAATCTCCTCTAAACTAATATTGTCTCTATCGTATCACCTAAAACATAGAAAATTTTCAAACATACATACATTCGTAGCGATGTCGCAATTTCCCAAAATACTTACACTTGCCCGCCATTATAGTATTACATACAATTTTTCTTCAACATGTACTCATCTAAAGAAATGTTTTCTATTGCGGACAAGCGCCTGCAGAAATTTTAATGTTTCCAAATTTAAGAAAAAAGACTTAATTTCAGCTAACAACAAATGTGAATAACGAAAGTTGAGAAAAAAAATAGAAAAACATCAAAGACCAACACATTTAACCTACTAAAATTTAATATCTCACTGTGCGACTTGTGAAAATGTCCAGCAACAAATGTGGCTAAATGGGAAAAAGCCAAAAATTATTACAGCAGTCGATTACTTGGCACATTTTCAAAGAATATGCACACGTTCATTCGCATTTATTTACGTATGCACAGATACACACACACACATTATACATATGCGCATATGTTTTGACATTTATTGGCAAAAATAATAAGTTTGCTAGAAATGGGTTGAACGCAGCAGCCATCCATTGCAATTGTTTTAGAAATATCTCACTATAAAATAAGTTTTAGTGCAGTGGGTCAGACCTTGGAAAATTTGGGTCACATTTTTTTATATGATTTGGTAACTTAAAATTCGAATATTCGTTTTCCTGTATGACTTGGTATTGACGTAGGAATCTTCAAATTAATTGCTAGTTAAATTTCGTTACACAATAAGTATTGTTGTTGGTCAAGGTGACAATCAGATGTGTTTACTTTGACCTTTGTTTTGTTATCTATTATCTATCTTTCTATAAAATATTAGTGTAATTATTGCTCTAAAAGCGCTTTCAAATTGCGCTAGATTCTAAAAAAAATTTATTTCCCAAGCAAAAGAGGCTCAAGGAATTTTTACTCAACTTCTGTTGGAACTTCAGAGTGCTAAAAAATTTGGGAATCTCTGCGCCATAACATGTATTTCACCACAGTATTAACACGGAAATTACAGCTGTTTTTATGCTTGGAAATCTGCTAGGAAAATGGCATTGCGCACATGTGGAAAATGTTTCATAGAAACGTTCTCAGCGCTTGTAGCTATAAACCATTGATGAACAATGGCCTGCCGTCGTCGCCTAACCGACGTCTGTGTAAACAAGTGATGCGCAGCAAAAAATTCTTATTTTAAATCTAAATTTTGCGAAAGACCAAAATATTGTTTGTCCATTGGCACTTCTATTTCTAACACAATTTAATGACTTGCTTGTGTTTGTCATTGTTGCTCATGACAACTATGTTATTATTTCGAGTACATTATTGACGGAAGTGATTTTTAAACGTATTGTACAAGTATTTTCGGTTTTTATGAGTTGGTGGACTACTCGATTAGTAAAAATTTTATAATATTATATTTAGAGAATTTATCGCATATTCTTCTTATCATAAGTTGTAACAGCGAATTTGTTTTTTAAATGACGTTATCTGAGCAATAGACATGGTAGAGATTCTTAATATTTATTATCCACCTTATAAAGCTTCTACTTTATATAAAATTTGGAGTATGCCATCTGATCAAATATGACCAATTTAGGAAAGTAGTAACTAGGGGCTAATTAGGCGGTACGGAAATAGTTTTTATTATAGCGTACTTTTTGATATATATTTTTTAATATTTCTATAAAATAATTTATTATTATGAACTTTCCATTGAAAATAAACCAAATGTGAAGTGTGAAAAATCAAAATTTTAATTTATGTATACTTATTTACGTTTTTAATGTCCAATTAAACGCTAAAATCGCACCACAAATTATTGGCTTAGTTAACCGGTGGTAATTGTTTACTTGGGAAATAAATTAAAACGTGCCACATCAATAGCTTTGACTGGCCACTTGTATGCATATGTATTTACGACTACATTTTCTCGCTGTATGGATTAGTATAAACAATAATAAAATATATACGATTTAAACACCATAAAAATGAATGCTTCCTCCAGTGTGCTATTTCATGTTAGATAAAATGATTCATTATTCGGACTGATATACATAGATGGCGGCGACCCCCGTTCTCGTTATTTTCACTAAACTCTTCCGGCTTTATTTACTTTTCGTTTCGTTTCGTCGAGTTGCCGGTAACTGTTGCTCATTCGTTCACAAAGTTACTCGTTCATTGCTTTGCTGCTGTTGGGCTGTGTTTACAATTTTTTTTAGTTATTTATTTTTTATCATTCCTTTTTTTTTATTTTTGTCAATATTTATTTATCTACAGCATTTGTTATATACATACAGTTTCGCAATGCTTTCTTATGACTAATTGACTTTATGGCTAATGGGTGGTTATGCAGGCACTTTATTGTACCTACTATAGGTGCTCCCTAACGTCTTAAATATTTAAATTTTGGTATTGTTTTTTGTTTTTTTTAATTCCAACTACGGGACTGGAAAATAAAAAAGGAAACATTTTAATCCTATTTAAATATTTTATTTTGAATGCACGAAGCATTTTTTTGTTTTACCGTTGAATTTGCTACACCACGTGTTTGGGTTACTGGAAGTTTTTTCGACTTTCTTTATTATTGTTGTTGTATTTTCTGGTTAGCATGGGATTCTTCTGGCTTAGGTAATAAGTAATAGATACATAAGTATTATTTTTGCTTAAATTTATTTTTTCTGTTTACCAACAAACTTTGTACTTTTCTTTCAACAAATTGAACGTAAATCCCATAAGTTCCATAATTCATGCGAATTTTTGGTGTTTCATAAGTATTTGAAGAACTGCTGAATTATTGTATTTACAAGGCGAGAAATGGCAAATTTTGTTGTTGTGATAAGAAAAATATTAAGAAAAGGGAATTTTTCGCAAAATTTTGGAGTAAATTTAAGCGGATGTTGAATTAATACACATGTACATACATATATAGAAATAAATATGTTATTGCTCAACTCAACTGAATTTTTTCATTAATAATTTCCAATTTGTATCTACTTTTTCTGCAGCGCCCAGGCATTGGAGCGTGAGATGCGTGATCCACACAGTATTTGCAACATCGACTGCCTACTGGATACAGTGAATGCGTTGGTTAACGATTGTGATCATGAATCATTGAAGCGTCTAAAGAATATCGAGCAATATGCCACCAAATGTAAGTCGGCCCAACAACAATTGCATTGTATGTAAGCGCAGAGTGTTAAATCTTTCTTTTTCTGTTTTGTTATTGCAGATAAGCCGTTGTCAAAGCAGATTTGTCAGCTGCGTATGAATGTCGAAGACTTTGATTTTATCAAATTGATCGGCGCCGGCGCCTTTGGCGAAGTGCAACTGGTGCGACATAAATCCTCGCGGCAAGTGTACGCCATGAAGCGATTATCCAAATTCGAAATGATGAAGCGTCCCGACTCCGCCTTCTTCTGGGAGGAGCGTCACATTATGGCACACGCCAACTCAGACTGGATCGTGCAGCTACATTTCGCCTTTCAGGATGCCAAATATTTGTACATGGTCATGGATTATATGCCGGGCGGCGATATTGTCTCGCTGATGTCCATGTATGAGATACCGGAGAAGTGGGCCATTTTCTATACAATGGAGGTTGTGCTTGCGCTGGATACCATACATAACATGGGTTTTGTGCATCGTGACGTGAAGCCCGATAATATGCTGCTCGATCATCATGGCCACTTGAAGTTGGCCGATTTCGGCACATGTATGCGCATGGGTCCCAATGGCTTGGTGGTGTCGAGCAATGCCGTCGGCACTCCGGATTACATCAGTCCTGAGGTGTTGCAATCGCAGGGTGTGGATAATGAGTATGGACGCGAATGTGATTGGTGGTCGGTTGGTATTTTCCTGTACGAAATGCTTGTTGGCGATACACCATTCTACGCGGATTCGCTTGTGGGCACATACGGTAAAATAATGGATCACAAGAATTCGTTGAGCTTTCCCGCTGAGGTGGAGATTAGTGAGAGCGCCAAATCGTTGATGCGTGCGTTTCTCACCGATCGCACACAGCGTTTAGGTCGACATGGTATCGATGAAATCAAGGCGCATCCGTTCTTCGAAAACGACACTTGGACGTTTGACAACATACGCGATAGCGTGCCACCAGTAGTGCCCGAGCTGTCCTCAGATGATGATACGCGCAACTTCGAGGATATCGAACGCGATGAGTCGCCAGAGGAGGTGTTTCCCACACCAAAATCGTTCGATGGCAATCACCTACCTTTCATTGGTTTCACATATACCGGTGAGTAGTGGTGGCAATACAGTTAATCTAACGCTTATGCTTTTTTTCTATCCTGCAGGCGATTATCAGCTACTTTCGAATGATACTGTCGACGCTGAGGCAAAGGAGTCGGCGAATACGATCGCCAACCACAGTCACCGGCATCGTCCTTCCAATTCAAATGAAATCAAACGTCTCGAGGCATTGCTCGAACGCGAGCGCAATCATTCCGAAACGCTGGAGAAGCAAGACAAAGCGCTGCGTCAACAAATCGAACTGATTAGTAAGCGTGAAGCTGAATTGCAGCGTATCGCCTCAGAGTATGAAAAAGACCTGGCGCTGCGGCAGCATAACTACAAAGTGGCCTTGCAGAAAGTCGAGCAGGAGATAGATCAACGTAAAAAGACTGAGGCACTGCTCGCCGAGGCGCAGCGCAATCTCGACAACGAGCAGAAAATACGCACACGCGAGATGAACAATAATCTGCATCACAATGAGAAGATCGTCACGCTGGAGAAACAGCTAAAGGAAATGGAGGAGAATTTCAAAAACGAGAATGAGCATGTGCAAAAGCTCAAGAAACAGGTGGCCGAATTGGGTTTAACACAACAAGAGTTGGAGGGCAAACTGGCGCAATTGCAGGCGTTGATTGCCACCTTACAATCTCAAAAGGACGCGCTGCAACAAGAAGTAGCCGAAACGCAAGCGCAGCTGGCACAAGAGAAAAATGGGCGCTCACAGCTGAAAGAACAGGTCAAGGAGTCTGAGAATAAGCTGCAAACCATGGCGAATGACTTGGAACGCGTGTCGCAGCGCGAGCAGCAAGCGCACGAGGACAATCGCGTGTTAACCGAAAAGATCTCTGATCTGGAGAAGGCGAATGCTAGTCTGGACTTTGAGCTCAAGGCGTTGCAGAGTCGTTATCAGCAGGAAGTGAAGGCGCACCAAGAGACCGAGAAGTCGCGCATGCTTAGTCGCGAAGAGGCGAATCTGCAAGAGGTGAGTTTGTAAATCTTTACGTACTTCGAGCTAAATGTAAAATTTAATATATCGATTTTCTATTTTACCAGGTAAAAGCGCTACAGACCAAGCTGAACGAAGAGAAATCAGCGCGCATTAAGGCCGACCAAAACTCACAAGAGAAGGAACGCCAGTTAAGCATGCTGTCCGTGGACTATCGTCAAATACAGCAACGCTTGCAAAAGTTAGAGGGGGAATGTCGCCAAGAAACGGAGAAAGTAATGGCGCTGCAGTCGCAGATAGAACAGGAGCACTGCAAAAAGAACACACTGCTATCCGAGCTGAGTTTGCAGAGCTCCGAAGTGGCGCACTTGAAATCCCGCGAAAACCAACTGCAGAAGGAGGTCACCTCCTTACGGGAGGCGAAGCGTAAATTCGAAGAAGAAATTTCGCAAATCAAAAACACGTTGAACAAAGAAATTCTCTTGAAGCGCGAATATCAGGATCAACTGGAAGCCGAACAGTATTTCTCACGCCTATACAAAACGCAAGCGAATGAACATCGCGAAGAGATATCGGAGCGCTGCCGTGAAATACAGGATCTGAAAGAGGAACGCACGTCACTTAAACATCAAGTACAAGTGGCTGTGGCACGTGCAGACTCTGAAGCGTTGGCGCGCTCCATAGCTGAGGAGACCGTGGCCGATCTGGAGAAAGAAAAGACAATCAAGGAGTTCGAATTGAAGGACTTCATGACCAAATATCGCAATGAATTGGCAGCGAAGGAGGCGGCTATTACAACGGCTAAGGAAACCGAAACTGAGTATGTCAAGAAATTGAACCAGAAGAATGCGGAAACCGACGAACTCTTGCAACAGCAAAAGAAACTGCAAGACGAAATGTCGCAACTACGCGCCACCAAGGACGAAGAGCTGGCCAAGCTAAAGGAGAAACTGCAAACCGAAATGCTGCTGAAACAGGTGGCTGTCAACAAACTGACCGAGGTGATGAATCGGCGCGACACGGACTTGCAAAGTGAGTCAGTCTTCAGGCGAATTGTGCAGCAGAAAAATGTCCCAAAATATTTATTAATTCTTGTTATTTTTTTTTAACTTGCAGAGCAAAAAGGCAAAGCGCGCTCGTCCGCCGAGTTGCGTAAGAAGGAGAAGGAAATGCGTCGGCTGCAACAAGAGCTCTCGCAAGAGCGCGAAAAATACAACCAGTTGTCGCAAAAACTGCAAGACGTGCAGAGCCAGATCATCGAAGACAGTCATGTGAGCACTTTTTCTTATTTTCTATACCAACTTTCTAAAAGAACCAATCACTTTTGTTAAGAAATTCAATCATACAAAATATTTGCTTTGCAGATCAAGCAAAAGCTACAAATGGAAATCGACTGCAAAGCCACGGAAATCGAGCAGTTGCAGTCGAAGCTCAATGAAACCGCCTCCTTGTCGTCAGCCGACAATGATCCCGAGGACACTCAAGTGCTTGTGAGTTCAATCTTTTTTTTCACGTCTCTATTGTGTATTGTTATTAAATTTTTTAATTTGCTGTCTGTTAGGACTCGGTGTTCGAGGGCTGGTTAAGTGTGCCAAATAAACAGAATATACGCCGTCACGGTTGGAAGCGGCAATATGTGATTGTGTCATCGCGCAAAATTATCTTTTACAATACCGAAATCGACAAACAGAATACAATCGATCCTGTGCTTATATTAGACTTAAGGTGCGTGTGTTCGAAACTTGTTCTCACAAAAAAAAAAAAAATAATAATATTTTATTTGCTTTTCACATCTGCAGCAAAGTATTCCACGTGCGTTCTGTGACGCAGGGTGATGTGATACGCGCCGATGCCAAAGAGATACCACGCATTTTCCAGCTACTCTATGCCGGCGAGGGCGAAGCGCGGCGTCCAGACGAACAAAATCAGCTGGATATCAGTCAGCTGTTGGCGGACGAACGGCCCAGCACCATTATGTATAAAGGTGTGTTTAATGTCATATGAATTATGATTACCTTTGTGTTTTATGCATTTTTACTGTTTCTCGCATTTTTAGGTCACGAATTCGTGCACATAACGTATCATATGCCAACGGCCTGCGAGGTCTGTACAAAACCACTGTGGCACATGTTCAAGCCACCAGCGGCGTATGAATGTAAACGGTAAGTGTACATTTAGAGAACTAAGAAACCAAGAGTCTCTAATTTTTTAGATAGCTAACTTTAGTTCTTAATAATATTATTGAATTTGTTGAAATTGTATTAAACATATTTGTTATTTCTATGCAGACAATACTGTAAATCAGTTTTGTTTACTTCTCATGCTGGGTTATGGTTCATTGAATTTAAAATTTTCACAGAGATATTGAAAATCTGAATACAGTTGAACTTCCATAACTTCATATAGCATACCTTTAGGCGCCCAGATATGTTGTATTAAATCTTTAAGGAATTTAGGATGTAAAAGGATAAAAAAAGGTGGTCAGCACTACAGACGGATTAACCTAGAATCAAAAAATCAAATATCATTGGTCAGTAACTGAGTTCAGGTCATGATTAATCGAAGGATTTGGAAAAAATGACTTTTTAGCAAAGTTGCAACAAAACGTGATTTTTAGGTATAACTTTTAGCACAAATTGCCGGGAAAAAAATAGTTCTAATTGAATAAAAATCAAAATATCTGGTAGGCCAATAAGTCACGCAGAATAGAACCATAGACCAGTTTGGTCCTTTGCGATGCCAGGTGGAGTTCACTTGTTAAGTGCAAGTAGTCATCGTTTAGGATGCCTGCGCTTGACACGAATTCTAACACTCTCTACGGGCCTCACCCTCAAAATATATAATAATATACACTATTTATTTAACTACAAAATTTATTTATTTACAAAATATTTTCTATTTCAGTTGCCGCAATAAAATCCACAAGGAGCACGTAGACAATAACGATCTGCTGGTGCCGTGCAAGCTGCATCACGATCCGCATACTGCCAAAGAAATGCTGCTGCTGGCCGGCACGCCCGACGAGCAGCATCTGTGGGTGACACGCCTCTCCAAGCGCATACAGAAGTTCGGCTACAAAGCCAACTCGTCATCGAACAATAACAGCGGCGGCGGCGATGGCAGCAAAATATCGCCAAGGTGAGTCCACAGGCACGCTTTATGCCGTCTAATTAACTACATTTACAGTTGCATTTGTATATAGATTTCTTTCAACTTTCATGCCTTAAACTTACAGCTTAGTGTTAACTACTACTTACTTAGTGTTACATACATATACATATATGTACATATTATTTAATGTTCTTGTACTCACACGAAAAATATTAATTCTAAACTCATCTTTTTTACATTTCTTTTTCTACTTTTATTTGCCTGTGTGTGTTGCTTAACGTGACTGAATGTTCGGCAAACTATTTTGGTAAATACAAACTATTATATAACACGTGACACCCGCAAACCTGTAACCCGTATATATCCTACCAAAAATCCGAAAAAAAAATCGACAACAAACTAAATTTCTCCCGAAAATATATGACAAATCGCAACAATTATAACCATCATATGTACGCTATGCTATCAACAACCACCAACATAACGCCATCATGCCATCATTCTGCTACTCTCATACCACCTGCATACATACATACGCCAATGGCGCTCATTTGACCCCCAAACATTGTCGCATTGTGCCTCATCTCGCCACTTGCCTGTTCGCCTGGCACTCCGCAGCCAATCGACGCGCTCCGCTTACAAGCCATACGCAGTTAACGTACAAAGATCAGCCACGCTGCCAGCCAATTCTTCATTGAAGCAGTGATCCGCTAAAGCAATCAAATATTTTATAGAAGACAAATATGTAGACATATATATATATAGTATATAGTAGTAGTATTAGTCGAGCGAATGACGTTGAGTGAAATGCTGCATGTGCGTAGGCTGTGTGTACGTGGAAAAAACAACAAAAAAACATTAAACAAAAACAATATATGCGCGTAACTCGTGGCATATTTGATGCATATTTAAACTTATATATACGAATTTATATACTTGTATATTAGTTTTTCACTAGTTTAAATCCATACGCACACGCAGTCCTAAGCGCGCATTTGACGTTACATACATACTTTCACTTAGCATATGCTCTTATGTATTTCATATTCGATGGAAATGCATACTGTACATACATACATACAAATATATAGTACATATGACTGTAGAATGAAGAAGAAGCAGCAGAAACTAATTTACTTTGCTGGTAAATGTAATAACTTTCCATATCATAATTATTATGTTTGTTAAAGCTAAAATGTTGAGTTGACACAGAATAATGTTTATATAACTGTCATATCACCTTAGCGCCGCCAATTTACATACATACGCATTACTTCCTGTATGCTAACGCCGTATGCAATGCAAAAGCAAAAGCTAATTAGAGTTTATACATACACACACATACATATACATATTAACTTAGCGCGTCGTTATGTAAGTCAATTTTTTATACAGTTATTATTATTATTATTATTTAATATTACATAAGTAGTGAAATAAGTAATTTGCTTTTGTAGCGTTATAAAAACAAAAAAAAAAATATTTACAGTTCACTTTTTAAGCGTGTGAAAAAGTATGAAAAGTTAAATAAAAAATCAATAAATAAAAAATGTGAAAATTGAAAAAAATATTTATATAAATCAGATGTTCTATTAAATAACACCAAGAGATCATTGCCAAATTTTTTGAAACTGAAATGTAACTAGTGTTTAGTTTTAAGACATGGCCACCACATTCGATGCAAAAACGTGAGAAACTCTTTTGAGCGCCAAATTTGTAAAATGTATATAAAATTTACATAATTATATACCTGTTGTTTTATAAAATTTAAAATTTAAAACAAAAATTTTTTTTTCATGAAAACGTTGCATAGTGTTTGAGTTTTTTTTGTAAATTTCAATATATTTAGAATATTAAAATTAACAAAAAAATTTAATGGAAACTTTTGGAGATTTCAAATTTTTTGATATATGTATTTCAAAAACCAAAAAAAAATTTTTTTTTTTTTAATAGAAAGTTCTGGCGCCAAAAAAGAGTCTACGGAAACATTTGAAACCGTTTTCAGTTATATTTCAAAAACTAGACTGTATGCATTTATAACTGTTAGAATTCTTATGTTACGAGAAGCTTTTTTTTAATTACCATTTTTTTAATTTTTCAAACGTGAGTGAAAATAATTTAAAAAAATTGAAATTATAAAAAATAAGTAAAAAATTTATTTTAAAAAAAATTTTAATTTTTTAAACTTTAGCGGCTGTTAAGCAAGCTCTAGAGTTTCAAAATTATTTTTTGCATAAACAAATAAGTGTAAATTAAACAAATTCTAAAAGTATTCGAACTTTCAAAAATTCCTTACCTAAAATTTTTTTTATCGAAGCCTGCTCACTCGAACTACAACGTGGTTGGCATGTTTTATAAAACTGGCGATAATTGCGGTTTGAATTAAAAATATTAAAAAAAATATTTAAAAAGTGCTGAGAAATCTAAGATGCTAGGCGGTTTAATATTAATTTGCAGCTGCTTTAACTAAAAACTTCAATTAATTCCAACTACATTCTTATATACCTATATTGATATTTAATTTTTTACGCTATATTTTACGTATACGAAACTATTTTTTCCAACAACAAATTCCATGCACTTAAACTTAGCTGAAAATATAAAAATAACTAAAAATTTAGATTAGCAACACACTAAATATATACTCGACACACAGTGGAACAAAACTTAAATACTTATAAGTGGTACCGTTTC